CCTATTTTATAATCCTTTCAAAGAAAAATGTGACAAATATAGAGCAGACTCGCTTTTGAGATGAAGTCACTTAGAGGTGGTGTTTCACCCCTTTGCAGGTCGCTGTTGGCTTCAAAAAGAGCCACGTGGTAGGTGCGCTGCACCAATGCCGAGGCCAGATCAGGGTACGGCAAGCGTTATCGAGAATGCGCATCTAAGCCGTGGGGAGTTCAGAGCACTACAATTTTCACGCCCCGTTCCGTATAGGCAGAGAACGGGAAAGACCACTAGGGGTCGTATATTCACTCCGTGGGCGGAATTCCCGAAGCATGGCAAGCACAGGGCCTGCGCGCGCTTGAATACATAAGCGTCATGCGAGAGTGATTGACCGGTCACTTGCTCAGTTATTTGGCCAATAGCAGTTTGTGCCGCCCGTGAATGGTTGCCCCAGAGGCCAGGCGAGAACTGCAATCATATGAATTCTTGCATTGGTGGCGTCGGAGCTTGAAGGCACTACACATCCACGACAAATGCCTCGCATGTGGATGCGTGGAATTGTCCAAGTGGTTAGAGCGGTCTCTGCGTGAGACAACATTGACAAGTGATTGGTCAGACCGGGTAGACAGACACACCTATGAGGCCGTATTCAGCAACAGTGAACGTTCGCGCGTGAGTGAGTTCTTATACAATAATGTGGCAAATTTCGCGGCTGGATGAAAATTAAATTTAGCGTCCATTAAATCTATTTTTCGCATAACTATCCACTTAATTCGTGTCAGTAGGCATGCTTCACCGAACTATGACCTTAGCTTGAGTTTGGTTTTTGTTTACATTTGTTTTTCATTTACTTTATTTTTAGATAGTTAAGTTTTTTCGTACTTTTCTCACGACATGCGGTCGTTTTCTGGCTTAGAAGCTATCTCTTATTCAACTCTGCGGGGCGTCTAGGATATAGGCAGAAGTACATTAACGACAAAAACATGGGATACTACAATGGTGATTTCTGGCTCTTTTGCCGTCATCAGGTTGTGACACCCATCTCCAGTGCCACTGCTAAAAATGCTGCCACACTCGAGTTTCGAACTCGCTTCTCTCCGGTCGGAGGCGAACGCCTTAAACATTGAGCTTTCCACCTCCCAGTCTTGACGGTACTGGATCAGGTATATATACAGTAGCACATATGCGTACACCGATCTGATGAAGGAGACACCCGTCTGTCCATGTTGCAATTAGAGGTCTCACTGGAGACTCCACTGCGGGCGGCT